GGGATTCCACCCATTCCCAGCTTTCCAACCCCTCTTTTCCATCCTGGAGCGGGATTCCACCCATTCCCAGCTTTCCAACCCCTCTTTTCCATCCTGGAGCCCTCCATGGGGTGTGACCCTTGTGCAGAACTGCAAACTCACCCCATCCCCATTATCTCAGAACTGCACCCCTGAACCCCTCCAAGTGACCTCTCCCCATTTTTTTGTCCCAGGTGTGTACAGAGGTGGCTCTGACGTGCTGGTGAGGTCCAGGCTGGCCCTTGGGGACRGTGTCACCATGCAGGTGACAGTCAGGAGCAAGGACGAGACGTCCGTCGATGTCATTTTGGCTTCCGTGGGCTGAGATTTCCAACGTGACCAATTCCCCTTTTTCCCATCAGCCTGGCTGTCCTTGTGCATGTAGTTTTTATTTCTCCATTTGGGAAATCTTTTTCTATGAGGTTCCATTCTCGTGTCCCTTCCTTTCCCTCGTTGTCATTTCCACATTCCCACCTAATTTATGGCATCTGGGGTCCGCATCTTTTCCGAGAAAACGGAATCAGATTTTTGTCAAAATTGATTTTTATTAACAGAAAATAAAACACTGGTTCAAGTGGTGGAATTCATATGAATTGCTGTTAATAAAATATAATTTTTTTTGTTCTGATTCTCTCAGCTCTGATACAGAAAAAATAGCCCACAATGGCTGTTTATTAAGCAAAACCCTTTATTCCTTAAAGGATGCTATCAAATTCCCAAAAAAAAAAAATGAAAAACCAACCCAAACCTGCAAATTTGTGGGTTCCATTAGAGCCATTCTCGTGTCCCTTTTTTTTCCCTCATCATTTCCACATTCCCACCTAATTTATGGCATTGGGGCCGCTTGCAGAAAAGATGCGGGGTCGGGGCAAGAAAACGGAATCAGATTTTTGTCAAAATCGATTTTTATTAACAGAAAATACTGGTTCAAGTGGTGGAATTCATATTAATTGCTGTTAATAAAATAGATTTTTTTTTGTTCTAATTCTCTCTGCTCTGATACAGAAAAAATAGCCCACAATGGCTGTTTATTAAGCAAAACCCCTTATTCCTAAAGGGATGCTCTCAATTCCCAAAAAAAACAATGAAAAACCAACCCAAACCTGCAAATTTGTGGGTTCCATTAGAGCCATTCTCATGTCCCTTCCTTTCCCTCATCATTTCCACATTCCCACCTAATTTATGGCATCTGGGGCCGCTTGCAGCAAAGCAGGGAAGAGAAAAGATGTGGGGTCGGGGCGAGAAAACGGAATCAGATTTTTTGTCAAAATCGATTTTTATTAACAGAAAATAAAACACTGGTTCAAGTGGTGGAATTCATATGAATTGCTGTTAATAGAATTTTTTTTTGTTCTAATTCTCTCTGCTCTGATACAGAAAAAATAGCCCACAATGGCTGTTTATTAAGCAAAACCCCTTATTCCTAAAAGGATGCTGTCATATTCCAAAAAAAACAATGAAAAACCAACCCAAACCTGCAAATTTGTGGGTTCCATTAGAGCCATTCTCGTGTCCCTTTTTTTCCCTCGTTGTCATTTCCACATTCCCACCTAATTTATGGCATTGGAGCCGCTTGCAGCAAAGCAGGGAAGAGAAAAGATGCGGGGTCGGGGCGAGAAAACGGAATCAGATTTTTGTCAAAATCGATTTTTATTAACAGAAAATAAAACACTGGTTCAAGTGGTGGAATTCATATGAATTGCTGTTAATAAAATAGAATTTTTTTGTTCTAATTCTCTCTGCTCTGATTCAGAAAAAACAGCCCACAATGTTTGTTTATTAAA